GCCTTTTGCCTCCAGATTTTTATGTCCCCTCCAAGTAGGAGTTTTAGAGGATATCTTTCTTCTCTCTAGGAACAAAGAATTTCCAGCTTTTATTTGTTCTCATCACTTGTTCTGTGTTGCTTTTCTTTCCAGGGTGAACTGACTAATGGACGCTCCAAATTTCATGTCCTTTTCCTTCTCTTTGTGGCAGTCATGTTCTTTGTAAGCCTTATGTTTCTTTTTGGCTACCATTGTTGGCTCGTCAGTAGAAACAGATCTACATTAGGTAAGGCTCTTGTGTCTTACTTCTTTAAGACACACCAAAAGTGCTGTAAGAAAAAAAAAAAAAAAAAGGCATTCGTGTTCTATATATTCCCGCTGGCTTTTGAGGGGAGGAAGATTTAAGATCTTGGCACAATGCTGCAGAAATTTATCACTTAAGATGCTCTGCATTTATTAGCCGGTCTGACAAAAGCTTTGTTAGGGAAATAAGAGCCTTGAAGTGTAAAAGTCCAATTATAAAAATCTTATGCATATGTATAACTGCATTTGCAGTGAAATGAGTGCAGCTTTTCAGGAATGATGGTTCTTTATGCTCATATGTGAATTACATCCTAAAATAACTCGGAAAGGTTGGGAAAAACAGTGTCCATCTTCATTGACAAAGGCAAAGGAATGATGATTGTAAACCCAATGAAATGAAAATCTGAAACAGTATGATTTTGTCGAGTGATTTCTTTGTCTTTCCTCAGATAATGTTGTTCAATTTTTAAAGCTTTTTGGATAAAGTTTTGTAACAAAACACACACTGTCAAGAGTTTGAGCAAATATTCAGATTTTGTATAGTTAATTAACTTTAAAACTCATTTCAAGGTGCGCTGAAGCTCAGCTGTCCCAAAACATCAGACCTCTGCAGCAGCTTAGAAGGTAGATAAAATTGGTTTTAGTGCACTCTAGGTTCTCCTCCCCTCTCTTATCTTAATTTTATGTCTTATGATAACAGAGGGTCTATTTGCATATGTTTGTTCCTAATGCTTGTTCATTATATCATTAATGAATGAGGCAATTTAAATTTGTTAAATGATGTTGTCTTCAGATGGCTACAACAGGCACAATCCTGTTTCAGAGTATTTGGCATTGATTTTAATTTTTTTTCACTGAAATTGCTTCTGTGTGTAGAGGCTTTCTCAGCTCCAGTGTTTCAGAATGGCCCAGATAAAAATGGGTTCAATCTTGGCTTTGTAAAGAATCTTCAACAAGTGTTTGGAGAAGAAAAAAAGCTCTGGTTACTACCTATTGCCTCTAGGTAAGTAATAATCAAGTCAGTGCTAAAAGCTGGTACAGTAAATTGAAGGGTCTGACTTCCAAATGTCGGGTACAGCCTCGTGTTACGCCTATGATTGTGTGGCTTGGCTGACTGCTATTGTGCATCACTATAAAAGCACTGACAAACACCATCTGTGTTAATGCTGTTCACCAGAAGGATGGAAGGGAAAGGTTTTTGAGGGCTCAACGCACTGCACAAGGTGTTTGAAGTTTCTTCCTGAATTCCTGTGGCACACGTGTGGATGGGTGTTCCCTTCAAAGCTGCAGTTTTCTTCATCTGCCTGAAACAGAGTTTCTGTTTCTGAATGTGGGGGGGAATGTGGTTTTGGCACTTGTTAGACCAGTAGTAAAGTACACTGGAATTTAATTCTTTTAGTAATTGGACACAATTTAAAATAACTTCCTGACACAGCAATTCACAACTTTTTCAAGTAGCAATGCGTTAAGTCTAAGGCCCAGTTGCATCCCCACTGCCATCTGCTTTCCACTCTTGAGTCCAGTTAAAGGGAACAGACGAGCAGAGAAAGGCTTTCTGTTACTGAAAGGCAGCACTGAGGTGCTAGTCAGGGGCGGGTTACCAGTGTGTATAGTCATTGCAGGCAGAATGCTCAGGTTATTTTCCTGGTATAAAGATAAATCATCAGAGGAAAAAGATATTTTGGCTAGTTTACAGTTCCTCTGGCTATGTTGCGGGATGTTAGGGAATACAGTAGGTGCAGACCAAGCTAGAACATCTAATTTTTAACTTCATTAGGCTATGTTACGTGAATTTGAACGTACTCTCAACCTCCTGTTCAATATCCAGAAGCACATTTCTATTTGGGCAGTAGTAAAGCAAAAAAGCCTTTGCAATTTTAGCTCTTTGCAGAGTGCATTTTTTTTAATTTTTTTTTTTCCATTTTGTGTACAGGCTTAGGTCACAGAAAAGTGGGTCTTTTGTTTGTCTTTCATAACATCTAACTTAGATTGGGGCTGTTTTCTGTTGGGTGTCATTCAGACACAGAAGTGTAATTTCTGCCCTGAAGAATCTATGGTATAAATTGATAAAATTTATACCTATGGTATAAATTGCTCCTTCTACATAAATGTTTTCCTTAGTTCCCTCCTCAATTCTAGCTGTCCATAACTTAATTTTTTGTTCTGTTTTTTTTGTGCATCCAAATGACTCGATCAAGTTAGGCACATTTAAGTTCTGCTAAAAATCACTTAATTCCAGGCTAGAGGTTTCAACTTTTATTCTCCAGAGACCTTGAAGGAATTGAGGACCAAAACCACTCACTAGTAAAACTTAGTATCTGAGCTGCCACAAAAAACTAAACACAGTATTTTTCAAAACTTAAAAATAATTTAAAGTAAACATGGGAAGTACAGGCAACAGAAAACTTTGTTTGCAGATAAAACGTGTAGAAATTGTCATTCTTCAGAGTCACCTGCTACTTTTTACAGTGTCTTTCTCTGCCTTTATCTGTGCAGCCAGGGCGACGGACATTTTTTCCCAATGAGAGCTTTGTGTGAAGCTCAGAATCCTCTCCTAGCAAATGAAGAGCAGTGGGAAGATGATGGAATAGATGAAGAGCCTCACGGTAAGGTAACGCTAAAGGAAATTAGGTGTGTTTTGACCTACAGTGCCTAGTGGAGGAATTGTAAGAGCTAATCAAAGAAAAAAAAATGTGTTGGCTAAGTCACCAGGCAGCTTGGACTTGACTCATGAACACAGACTAAAAATGAGGCCTACTTTGGAGTTCAAGTTGTGGGGTTTTTTTTTCCTTTAAGTAGCTTTCTACTTGCAAGTAAATGAACTGAGAGGTTGTTACAAGTTGCAGAGAGAAATTGAAATTTCCAGAGTGTAAATGCTGCTTCATGTAGCACAGTTATATAAAGACATAAAGTTGTGCCTGTAAAAATGAAAAAGACTAAGATTATTTTTTTTTAAAGTGCATTTATCCTCTGAGAGTTTGGGAAAACATGCATGCAGACACCTGAACGCTGTGATGCATTTAAGAAGCTGCTTTATACTTTGTTCAGCTTTATTACAAGAGTAAAGAAGTCCATTTGGTTTTGATGCTTGCCTAGCTGTGCGCTAGATTTGATCGGTTTCTGAAATTTAAATGTACCTTTTATGCTATGGGTGTCCTGTTAAAAATAAGACTTTATATCTATTCTTTGATGATTTTTGTTAAATGGATCCAAAATTAGTTTAATGATTCTTTACTGTTACCTTTATCTGTTTGAACTTGATTTTTTTTTTGTCCTCGAATATTTACCTCCAAGCTTCGGTCTTTGGAGAACACAGTTTGTGTCAGAGACCCCAGTTACCGTGTTTGAGGGTTCAGAAATTCTGTCAATAAGTTAAGCATGGGCTCTTATTTTTTCTTGTGGAGCAAGGATTCCATCCACAGGTTCCCTTTAAAAGAAATATGGTAATCTCACTCTTCTTTCTCTTTAAGGAATGGTGAAAGTTTTAGTTAATTCTCAGATTACTATAATTAGTGGATCAAGCAACTGTAACTGGAGAACTAAATACCACTGCTTTATTGTTCAGAGACATGATTTCCATAGTCGCGCTCTTTATTGCCTCAGAATAGTTTTCAGAAACTGTGCCGATAATGTTCCCTTTCAGGGTATAAAGTTTAGTCACAGGTGCACAGGGTATGTTTGGGAGCCTGTGAGGAAGGCTATAGTCTTGGTAAAGGGGTAGCAGAAACTTTTCACGTGAACGTTTTTATTTGTGTGCAACATGTTGTGCAATGAACTCTTTCACCCTAACAGCACAGTATTTGCTGTTCAGCCTCTGGTTAGGTCGTACCTGCGGCTGTTTGTTCGAGTTATTCCACTGCAAAATAAACAGTCTGTGTTTTTTCCAAGGCACACTTCATATACTGCTGGGAAAATACACTCTCCAGGAGTGTGTCAACAGGACTGAAGAGGCTCATTTCAGCTTTTCTTCAGATTAACTGTTTTAATTAGTTCGTATTTGTATGTTAGAAAACTACCTGTTCTTCCTGGTTTGTTCTATGCATTTTGGCAGTTACAAGGTAACACAAATTGGCTTTAAAAACAACAAAACATGACATCTCTGTGTGTTGTTTATGAAATGGCCTGAGATGTTCCATTAAAACGGAAAGATCTTTATTTGTCTTTCTGGCTTTAAAGTTTGTGACACAGTTATAAAATAGTTAAAGCAAATAATAGAGTAATCTGAGTTTAAATACTGCTGTTCAGTTAGCTCTGACAAGTGGCTATTTGGAATGACTCTTAAAAACACACTCTCACACTTAGTGAAAAATATATTCTCAGTGAGAAAACCAGGTTTACTTCTAACTACTTTGTTTTTCATTCTGTAGAGTCTGGTGAAGCTTCATCCCTTGCTATAGAAAGGGAGACATAGCAGTTTGAGGATGCAGCAGTAGAAAGCCTGCTGGAAAGGTCAGTATTTCAGTGGCATGGCATCGAGGCCTCTGAGCACCCTGAAGGGCAGAGACCCCCTCACCAGAGTATTGTGTCGGTGCGCCTATGCATGGCAGTATTTCACCAATATTTCTCCATCTCGTCCAGGAATATGTTGTTTAAAAGAAACATCCAGTAGCCCTGGGCTGGATGCTGACACAGTTAACCCAAGAGCTGAAAGCGCTGCTTGTAGGGGAGGATACAGACCCTCCAGTTCTTCCGGTAAATGTGGCAGGAACGACTCTTGCTGCTAACCTGTACAATTTCAAGACTGGAAGTCTGTTCAGTGATTTGTGAAAGGTGCGGGAAGGTGCAGAGACAGTCTGGAAACTGAAGTTGAGAACAGTCAAGTTGCAGTTAGGAATAAACGGAAGTAACTTGAAATGTCCACATCAGCTGTTACTCTGTTTTTGGGGGTTTTTTCCCCACCCTGGAGAAACATGGGTACAACAACAGATGATAGGGTTTGGGGAAGATGCCGCTATCAGAATGTTCCCTGGTCTATAATCTGGTCTGGCTTTCCTGACAGTGGGGAGGTGTCCCGCCAGGTACTGTTGCAGTAAGCTGCAGGCTGCGCCCTCTTCAATCTCTGTGAAACATTTTCAGAGTGGTGTGTAATTAATTGACCAAGCTTCGAGGAGTCTCACTTGCAGGAGGTGAAATAGTCAGATAAAATTTGCCCCTCTATTTTCTGTGGACACTGAATAACCGTACTGTATGGCAAAGCACTGTAACCCACAGCCTTGTTCTGCACGCAAATAGGCAACGCGAATAGCAACGATTTTTATAAATGGTCTTCTCGCGTATTGTAGATGCGATTCCATTTTCTTCCACTGAGAAAAACCCCAAAGTATTTTTTCAGTCACTAGTCAGTGAGGACCGCATACTGCCACTCTAGTGAGGGACTGAAAACCAGCATTTTCCCTGTCGTTCTGTCAAGACTGGACAGCCAGCTATCGCTTGTCAGATCAGAGCTTATAGCTGCACATTTTTCTTTCTTTAAATTTCAGCTTCCCTCTCAGGAGTCAACATCCCTTCTCCTGGCATGGACTTCAGTTTTGAGAGGCAGAAAGCATGTGGATCTTCAAGATGAGAAAACATCATGAAGTATCGTCTGATTGGAATCTGCATTCTAGAGTGCTTCTCCAGAAATCCTGCTACCCAGATGTTTCAAGGCTTTATAAGTTTAAGTTATGGAGTGAACAGAACAGTTTTATAGAGCGATTCTGGCCAATCTTCTTTGGCCTGCTCTCTTTATTTTATAAATAATACATATTTTTTATTCAAAATAGGTAAAAAGTATTGATGCGAGGGCATTTCCAAAGGCCTTTTCATTTTGCAAACATCAGGGACTCGAGTTCTTGAAATTCTTCAAGCCATAATATTCTTGGGGATGGTATTTATTTTGAGACCGACTCTCCAACCTTCTCTGACAAGCGGCATTTTCTAATGTGTTTAAAGTTCGGAGTCAGTTCAACTCAGTGAGAGACAGACCCACTTAAATTTGGCACTAAATTGATAGTTGGATGTAAGTGTTTTGAAAGAAAAAGTGCTGAACATGCATATATACATGTGCAGCTGTGTATGAAAATAAAATATTCACATTGCCAATATCAAGATTCAAGAATATTGTGGCCATAGATTTGGGTTTTTTAAACATTTTTTAAGGAGGGTGGAATTGTCTTTGAGTTACAGTGCCCTTTAAGCCCAATCCTATTTGCAGGCACATAAAATGCAAAAGGAAACTTTAGACAGTACCATTTGCATTAATTCCTAGGGCTAAAATGACTGAGTTTGCCTGGTAATTAGAGTATTATCAACTCATTCCTGGATTGGCGTTTGATGGAAATTTGTGTGTGTGTGGAGTCAGAAAGGAAGATGGAAATTCAAAATACGTGAGTTGGAAACGTGCACTGAAAATTTAGCTCCAACAGCAGCGTTTGGGGATTGTGCTCCACAAAGGTGGTTTTAGTCCCATAATGTTGAAGAGATAATTGATGTATTGGATTTTTTCAACCTTCTTCCTAAGGGTTTTCAGCACTAAGAGGTTTTATCTTTATTTTGCTCCATTTGCAGTCAAAGGAATGTATCACTGTTTTTTATTCTGTGGAACGGAACTGAGAATGTGCTGGCAGGATTATATGCTTTTTTTCTAGACCTGAGTGTTTTTTTATCTGCATGATTCAGACCTGGCAACTCCACAACTCATGTTTGAATTAGGTGCATGCTTAAAGTATTGGTATACTGCCTTTCAGACAATTTGTTACCATTTTCTATCCCAGTTTTGTGTTTGTTTACCAGCCCATTTGTGTTGACAGTGACTACAGAAGCAGTTGTGCATGTCACGAGAAATTACCTGATAAGTATCTGTTTGGTGACAATACTAAATCCTTTTTTCCTCTGTTTACTCTGGTTTAAACTGTGCCCTGCGGACAGGTATTTTGTACAGCAGCCTCTGCAGTTTGGTGTAGAGCGAGCAGCGACCTGAGTTGGTAGGACAGGGTGGGGTGTCCCAGGCGTAGCGTAGGCTGCACGCTCTGCTCCTCAGAGCCGTACCGAGCACTCAGCGTTCCTGCTTCGACTGCTTCAACCACGTCTGTTGGGTGGTTCTGTCAGCAGACGGCTGGCGAGTGCTGAAACTATTTTTCCTATCAATCTAATCCTGCATTTCTAATGTAGATCTCGTGGTGGGCCTTAAGCTGTGTGTGATGTAAGATAGCAGGAGAATTAATCACCGCATTTCTGGCAAAATGTGTTCTGGAGAGGGATCTTGGGAGGAAGATGGCAGCTAAAGACAATAGGAAATGTATAGGAATTTAGCACCAACGGAGGTGCTGTCTGTGCCTTTTGAAACTCTAAATTCCTTGTCTGTAAGAACAGGGAGATGATTTGGTGACTGTTTCATTCTGCCAGCTGAAGTGTATTTTTAAGGTGGGAGGATCAGAGCTGTGTCTGAAGCTGTGTGGATTTGCAGGAGTTTTCTGAGCAGGTTCTTGTGTCCTTGCTGGATTTGGTTCTGTTTACAACCACGTCATCTCTCAGGGTCGTTTCTCTGCCCAGCGGCAGCAGCAGAAGGTGCCGAAAAGATCTGCAGGCAGTATCCCTGCCTACTGCCTGCCTGCAGCACTGTTCATTAGGTAGTACATAAAATCAATTTTTGTCTTCTAATTATTACTAAGGCAGATA